GGGGGGTATGGGGGTCCTCCCCCAGAAAATTTTGAAAATGTAGATCGCAGGAGATGGTATTTGCAGCACTTTTGAGTTGTACAGCCTTCATTCTGACTACAACAATTCTCTTTTTTTGAACTTTCGGATCAACATGAATCCCACTGCATGTTGTTTGTTTTGCATGGGCAAAGCCATCGGAAAATTCAAAATAATAATGGAATAAAAATACCAAAATGTAGGGGTGAACTTGCTGGTTTGCTGGTTCCAAATCGAGTTCACCTCTCCTAAATCAGAAAACCTGACATATTATATACCAGTGTTGGAAATAGCAGCTGGTATACGTCGCTTTCCCACACCACAGATTAATGGCGGGCCGCCAGGCTATAAGTGCTCATGGAGAACCCCTCAGAAAAACATAAATAAAGGGCGTTTTTTCGTCAACGTTTTTCTTGGTTGTCCACCGGACAATGTCTCAGACTGGCTAGGTTGTCCGGCACAAATTCTGGTTGTCTCGGACAACCGGACAACGCTTATTTCGAGCACTGTATATCTAACTCTATCTCTAGCTTGCTCGCGTACGCGCTTGCTCTCTCTCACTCTCTCGCTTCCCCGATTGTGTCTTTTCGTCTGTATCGCAATACTCGCAACACAGCACATCTAGCTATCGTTGTCATCAGGCCTCAGAAGAACTCAACCTCCAGAAATTCGGCCACGAGGGCGCGAACGTGACCGGCCTGCGCATCCTGGAGCGCTCAGGCCGCGCCTTGAGAGACTTCTACAACAAGGGCGACTGGGAAGGGGCTAGGCAGGAGTCCAGCGGCAGGGGCGGTGCCAGTCAGCACAAACTAATGGTGAGTACTGAGTATACCGCCCTGGCCAGAAGCTACCGGCTAGATAATCACCCCGCGATTCAGAGTTTGTTGTTCGTGATTGAACTGTGCATCAATCCGTGTCATACTGCCAATCTGAATTGCAGATGTCGCCGATACTATGCCGTGGAAATCTGTATGGGTCCGTAATTGTGATGAATATTTTATTCGGGAGCCGCTATATGCCTTTCGTATCACTAGATCCGAATTAATCAATAGAAAAACGGTCGTACGAACGAACGAGAAACCAATCGATCGGCACAACATTCGAACAAGAAACCCGTCGATCGATCGATCGAACATCCGACAGAACAAACGAACGAGAAACCAATCAATCGATGGGTCGAACAACCGAACAAACGAACGAGCAACCAATCAATCGATCGATCGACCGAACAAACGAACAAACGAACGAATAATATTTTTCCGGCAGTACGAAGCAGCGTTGATCTACGATAGCCTGCGCGTCATCCACGCGGCTTTCTCCCGCTTGTTGGAGGCGTCACCCACCGCCCTCAAACGACACCTCCGCCGCGGCGAGGTTTACAACAATGGATCCCGCGGCATAGGCAACTGCGATGCGGACAGGGTGGTTCCGTTTGAAGCAGGCAATCGCATTCTCTCCACAATTAAGCAGGTATATGCCCGGTATATGCAGCGATTGTTCCCCATCTGTATGTATATATAAGCTAGTATTCCGCACGCACACACACACACACACACACACATATATATATATATATATATATATATATATTATTCAGCATCTATGACAGACTATATTTCGACTTGCTGTCATTACATATCATTCGTAACCGCCCGACATGATGTGTATGAGCATGTTTCAAAATGTATTCCCCGTGTGTGCTGTAGAATGACATATAATCGTTTTAGTCGATGTTTCTCATATCAGAAAAAAATCTTTCTGGTTTATTATTCGTATTGCACACACTGACGCCTACAGGCAGTCGTTATAGCCCCTGGCATACACGGTGCAATGGCGGATCCAGAGATACATGATATAAGATTGCGTGGCGCAGCTTTGCTCTTGATCCTAAGCGCTACGCGCGGATGAGACGCGCAGTTCCGCGGGATATGCGCACGCGACCGCGGGGATGTTCAAGTATGAAGCGCTGTCCGCAGTGGAGACGTGCGCCAAATTCGAGGCCCGGCGCACGTCTCCACAGCGGTCAGCGGATGGTCTGTAGTTTGAACTTTGTTCTAAATAAGAACTCTCGGCGGCTAAATAAGAGCAATATTATATATATCCAGAAAGACATGATACAAGATTGCGTGGCACAGCTTTGCTGTTGATCTGAAGCGCTGTCCGCAGTGGAGACGTGCGCCAAATTCGAGGCCCGGCGCACGTCTCCACAGCGGTCAGCGGATGGTCTGTAGTTTTAGAAGATGACAATGATTATATATGGACGATATTCTAGGAATTGGAGATTATCAAACAGTAACAAAAATCGCTCACTCATGCTCCAGATTAGTTGAATCAAAAAGGGCTTGTTGGGGGTCCATTATGCAGAGCTTCCAATTGAAATGGCCCATGAAATTGTCAAGTGGAATTGTGTTTTTCGAAACCCCAAAGAAAATGTCTCAAGTTTATGGCTCTTGACGCACGCGCATTGACGTACAAGACTGATGAAAGCACAGGCACCTAGAACGTCTCAATAAAAAAAAATCTTTACACAAATTTTCACAATGATCGACCGCCGGTGTGCAAAATAGGTGAACGTATGTGAAACATATACGGTTAGTACTTACTGTGACATATCCGTGACTAACTGACACCACTAAATTGGTAAAATGTTTCATGCACCTTAAGAAATGCTGAGAAATTACGAGGTTATTATCGCAGAACTCCCGACACCGCCCATCCTGATGTACAAAGCTATATGTAAACAAACACGCGTGTTGCGAGGTGCGTGCCTCCGATATCCATTTCGAGGCCCGCTAGGCCAAGCATAAAGCGCGCGGGCAAGACGTCACACACACAGCTACGTTCATTGGCTAAAACAATCGAGTAGATTTTTAGGGATTTTAGGAATGATTTAATTTTAAGAAAAACTTCAATGTTCAATGAATTACGCACTCGTTCACTTCCGAAAGCGGGTAAAAATGCCTAATTTTCTACTTCGGTGCGAAATGCATCGGCCGGGCCTTTCATTATTTACGAAAAGCAAACAATCTCACCAAACACCTACACGCAGTAACGGGTCACGTCGTTGACGCCCCATTCATGCCCATCAACGAGGAAGGCGGGGCTTATTCTGATTACGGAAATGCGAAAATGCAACAGAAGGACGTAGCGCAGTGCGCTAAACAGCGTGTTATTTTCGTATTTGTGCCAAACTCTATCGTAGGAAACCGTTCTAGCCTAGCAGAATGCCCTAGTTCCTGAGATCGGCGATTTGGTGGTTCAATGGGTCCCCATATTTTAAAATATAAAACACTGGTGCGGCGTAGGCTGTGATTGGAAGACACAAAGTGTCAATCCTCGGCGCGCCTCGGCATCATGGCCGCATCACGTCCAGAAGTGAATTCTAAGGAGGGGGAGGGGGCGAATCATGCTGGGGGTGAATCATGCGAGCTCATGGGGCTCGAGAGGGGAGTGTGTTAGGCTAAAACACCTTTGCCCTGAAAATTGTAGGGGGCGACCGCCCCCTGCGCCCCTGGGTCCGCCACTGCGGTGATTTGCTAGCGTCAATATTTTTGCTAGGTGAGCCTGGAGAATGGTTTGAGCGGGAACATTGCTTTCGACGAACATGGCAGAAGAGTGAACTACACAATCTATATTTGGGAGTACACACTGAACAGAGAGAAGACGTGGGTGCGTAGAACGATATTGCGAACAAGCTCGTTGCCAAAACGTGTGTATATAGGAAACAGCAATTCAAATTCAAATGCGTGTGTGGATAAGTGTCTGCGTGCGTGTGCGTGGGTGTGTGCGTGCATGCGTGTGCGTGTGTGTGTGTGCGTGTGTATGTTTGTGTGTGTGCGTGTAGGTATGTACGCGCGCGTGCGTGCGTGCGTGCGTGCCTGCGTGCGTGTGCGTGGGTGTGTGCGTGCATGCGTGTGCATGTGTGTGTGCGTGTGTATGTTCGAGTGTGTGCGTGTAGGTATGTACGCGCGCGTGCGTGCGTGCGTGCGTGCGCGCGCGTGTGTGTGTGTGTGTTTACGTGTCTATGTTCGTGTGTGCGTACGTTTGCGTGTGCGTGCCCGTGTGCGTGTGCGTGCGTGTGCGCGCGTGTGTGTGTGTGTGTTTACGTGTCTATGTTCGTGTGTGCGTACGTTTGCGTGTGCGTGCCCGTGTGCGTGTGCGTGCGTGTGCGCGCGTGTGTGTGTGTGTGTTTACGTGTCTATGTTCGTGTGTGCGTACGTTTGCGTGTGCGTGCCCGTGTGCGTGTGCGTGCGTGTGCGCGCGTGTGTGTGTGTGTGTTTACGTGTCTATGTTCGTGTGTGCGTACGTTTGCGTGTGCGTGCCCGTGTGCGTGTGCGTGCGTGTGCGCGCGTGTGTGTGTGTGTGTTTACGTGTCTATGTTCGTGTGTGCGTACGTTTGCGTGTGCGTGCCCGTGTGCGTGTGCGTGCGTGTGCGCGCGTGTGTG